ACCAATAGGGAAAAACAACATGTAAATCACATGCTTTCAGGTACCTGCAAGTCTGTGCCTCACCTACAGAACGACAGTGAAACCCCAAGCAGCCTTGAATATAAAGTATGATCTTGTGTTGGCTGACTCTAGTATAATCTTTGGTCCACACAAGAGTACCTCTGTAGTTTCCTAGGATTCTGTAAATCATTTAAGAACTGATGACTACACAAAAAAGATAAAAATAATGAAATTAGACTACATAAAACTTTTTAACTTTCATCTGACAAAATTCAAGTAAAACAAAGTAAGTTCAATGCAGTCAAATGTAAACAGGCCCTATACTGAGCATGAATAATAGCTGACCCTGGAGAAACTGGAGCCTGTGGTACATTACAGGTGATTACTAACTAAATTCAACCCTCTACAGGCACAGTGTGACAGATACACCAAGAGAGGTCCATAACATAAGCATGTCCAGCCTTTTAACATCCCCATGTCCTCTACACAGTCTACCTTTGAGGACCACACAACCAATGATAATGATGAATCCCCAAAACAATCTCATAATGTTTAAATAAGGTTAGTTTTATGTTGGGCTACGCTCATAGCTACCCTATACCACAAGTTGAACAAACCTGGTCTTTTAAAATTAAAAAAACAGGGCAGGTAGAATAGCTTGGTGACACAGCTCTTTTGGGTAGAGTGACTGATGACCACAAACAAAGCCCAGGTTCAATCCCAGGTTCACATTACCCAGACACAGTGGTGGTGTACACTGTACGCCCAGTCAGTGCAAAACAAGCAGAGGACATCAAGAAGTTCAAGTTCATCCCCAGTTATGTGGAAAGTATAACGCCAGCCTGAACTACAAATGAAAAAATATTATCTCCAGCCAGTGAGATGGCTCAGCAGGTTAAGTAAGGTACTCACTGCCATGGCTGACAACCTGAGTTCAATCCTCAGAACCCACACAGTAGAAGGAGAGAACCAAATACAGTTAGCTGTCTTCTGACCTCCATGTGCTCCACGGCACACACCTTCACACACACACACACACACACACACAGAGAGAGAGAGAGAGAGAGAGAGAGAGAGAGAGAGAGAGAGAGAAATAGATGTAATTAATTAAGAAAAACACTATCTCAATCTTTGCTATGTGCTCAGATGCAATATCCAACACTCAATAAATTTATGAGATAACCAAAAAGGAGAAGAAACACTCATGGTCAAGTGCCAATGCCATCAAAGCTAGATCCAAAAATTACCCAGAGTTTAGCCATTAATCAGGACTTTAAATGGTGACTCTGATAGGAAAATAACTGATTGATAGGATCCAGTAGAATGTGGTCAGCACACATGAATCCCTGGAGAACTTCAACGGAGACATACATGATAGTGAAAAAAAAGCCAAATGATGGTAGGGTTTTAGTTGGAAAGTGGGGTGGCAGGGGAGGAGGGGAGGGAGAAGGGAACTGGATTGGCATGTAAAATAATCTTGTTTCTAATTCAAATAAAAAAAATCTGAAAAAAAAAAAGCCAAATGATGACAAAATTGGCTTGGGTTTTGTGTTGTTTGTTTTTATGTGTATGAGTGTTTTGCCCAGCAAAACATGCGTATGTATGTACGTATGTATGTATGTATGTATGTATGTATGTATATGCCTGTGTGTATGTATGTGCATGATATATGTGTGTGGTACCCTTGGGGGCCAGAAAAGAGCATAAGACTCCCTGGCACTGAAGTTACAGGGAGCTATGGACCTCTATGTCAGTGCTGGGAATCAAACCAAGGATCTGTAGAAAAGCAGTCATATTCTTAACCATCAAGCCAATTCTCCAGCCCCTACACTGTTAGTTAATGATTATCACGGATTAAAAACTCCTGAGAAAGGCATGGTAATGAATACCTTTAAACCCAGCACTCAGGCGGGAGTTTGAAGCAAGCCTGACTTCCATAAAGAGCACCAGGACAGCCAGACTTACATAGAGAGACCCTGTCTCAAAAAAAAAAAAAAATCCTTCTATAAGCTTGTCAATATATTGGGTACAATAAGGAATCGAGAAACTTAAAAATAAATTAATTCAAATAATTAAAGTTATTTATTAACTGAAAAAAGCAGGGCATCTGTGCAACAATAGCTCACTGTTTAACATATGGCTAACTGGAGTCCCTGTGGGAGAAGAGGTGATGGTGTAAAAGAAACATTTAAAAAGAGAAAGGCTAGACTAATGATTACACTGGACACATATACTGAAGTGACAATAGCTATACACATGTAAGCTACTGTACATCAATTAAAATGAAGACACATTTTAAAACAATGTAATGGCAAAAAAATTTAATTAAAAATAAATAAATAAACAATGTAATGGCCATGAATATCCAAAAATCAATAAAGTGTTAGGCAGGATGGCACACACACCCACCTGTAAACTCAACACTGGGAAGGCAGAGGCAAATTGGAGGCTAGCCTGGCCTACACAGTGAGTTCCAGGCCAGCCAGGGCTACATAGCAAGAGCTTGTCTCAGACAAATGAAATGACTGTAGAGGGACATCTTCACAGGACTGCAAGAAAGAAAATCGACCTGGCCAACATGCCTTCTAAGAAGAACAAGCACAGGAGGAATCTCAGAAACAAACCTTCCCAGACACTCCTCTCCACCTCTAGACACACCCTGCACTACTGAAACACGGTTTCTAACACACTCCCCAAGAGCTCCGTGCTCCTTTTTCTTCTTCTTTGGCCTACAATACAAACCCCCAGGATGGAAGTGTGGCTGATTATCCTCTGCACTGCTAAGGGCCTACATTTGTTACTAACTTCAGTAAGAGGGCTTTAATTAATATATGGTTGGTAGAGATGAGGAAAGACTGCCAGAACCACTTTGGAGAGCTGAGAGGGAAGCCGAAGGCAGAGTAATAGAAGTTAGTTACCAGGAAACCTAGAAACTGAAACTGAAGATGAAGAAAAAAAAAAAAAAAAAACAATGGAATCTTGAAATTCGCAGGCAAATGGATGGAACTAGAAGAAACCATCCTGAGTGAGGTAACCCAGTCACAAAAAGACAAACATGGCATGTACTCGCTCATATATGGATATTAGACATAGAGAAAAGGATTATTAGCCTACAATCCACACCACCAGAGAAGCTAAGAAACAAGGAGGACCCTAAGAGAGACACACATGGTCCCCAGGAGAAGGGGAAAGGGACAAGATCTCCTGAGCAAATTGGGAGTGGGGAGTTAGGAGAAAGAAAAGGGGAGAAGAAGACATGAGGGAGCAAGAAGATTGAGTCAGAAAAATACAGGAGAGCAAGCAAAGAGATACCATAATAAAGAGAGACATTATAGGCTTAAAAAGAACTCTGGCACTAGGGAAATGTCCAGAGACCTACAAGGATGACCCCCAACTAAGAATCTAAGCAATAGTAGAGAGGCTTCCTTAAATGTCCTTCCCCTATAATGAGATTGATGACTACCTTATATGCTATCCTAGAGCCTTCATCTAGTAGCTGATGGAAGCAGAAGCAGACACCCACAGCTAAACACTGAGCCAAACTCCTGGCATCCAGTTGCAGAGAGGGAGAAGTGATGAGCAAAGGGGTCAAGACCAGGCTGGAGAAACCCACAGAAACAGCTGTCCTGAGCAAGGGGGAGCTCATGGCCCCCAGACTGATAGCTGGGAAACCAGCATAGGACCGACACAGACCGCCTGAACATGGTGTCAGTTAGGAGGACTGGGCAGTCTTTGGGATCAGTATTTATCCCTAGTATACGAATGGACTTTGGAAGCCCATTCCACATAAAAGGGTACTCTCTCAGCCTAGACACATGGGGGAGGGTCTATGTCCTGCTCCAAAGGACATGACAGACTCTGAAGATTCCCCCCCATGGAAGGCCTCACCCTCCCTGGGGAGCAGAAATGGGTTGGGATAGGGGTTCCATGGGGGGCAGGGGAGGAGGGGAGGGAGAGAGAAATGGCATTGACATGTAAAACAAGATTGTTCCTAATTTAAATAAAAAAAAACCTTCCTAAGACAATGCCATTGGCCTAAAGGTAGTGATCAGAGCATCAGCACCACACACATGCACATATAAAACACATACACATAAAATGTCAGAACAGTGAAGTCACTATTTCCTATTATTTCTATTTATTCAGAGAAAATGTTTGAATAAGAAAAATAAACTCAGGAGGAAAGCTTTATGCTAACTACCTGGGATATATGTTATAATTCAGAAAACTTCAAAGGTGAAGCATTTAGACACAGAAACAAAAGCTCTGAAAGACTATAGATGAAAGGGGATTCTGGTCAGAACTCTGTGCATAAAAAAGAAGTCCAAACACCATCACCCAGTTAGAACAGAATGGGGGATGATGGCACACCAAGACGCACAGTAGAAGTGGCCAGCAAAGGCAGGACACATGACAAGCAGGTGAACACTAGCATGCCTAGTTCCACCATCCACACAGAGGCTCAATTCTCTGTAGCTAAAATGAACTGCAGAACAGCGGAGTGAATAAAGAGGTAATAGCAGTTTAGAGGAAAGAAAAATTATTTCTAAAACCGTAACAAAATCCAAGGGAACCACATATCTGTTATTGGGCCCTCATGTCTCACGCCAGAGCCAGAGAGCCAGAGAGAGGTAGTAAGTCAGGAAGCCTCCCTCCACAGGACCCTTCTCTAAATCCAGCCATAAGGGCACCACCAAGTTGAAGCACGTGCGTACAAGTGTGGGCCTATCAACTGTCTAAGGAATTTAAGGACCCTGTGTGCCTCAATGTAAAGAGTCTAACCCCAGGTCATAGCACAGAGGATCACTAGATTTCCACTATTACTAGTGTGGTAAAATCAATGAGAAAACGTGAAGACATTTACAATAACTGGGGTATTTCATTCATTGTTTATACCCCACAATGCTAAAATAGTAGCATGCAGGAAGTTACTGGCTTTTATGAAGAACTTGAAAGATACACTACACAAGTGGGTCATGTTTTTAGAGGCCAGGTTATCGGGCAGTTTTCTTCTCCTAGCTTTCTCTCACCCGTTCCTGGAGAAGCTCCACAACTTGCTGGACACAGTCGTTGACATCACAGGAGTCCGTTTTCAGCACCAGCTCCGGAGCCTCTGGTTTTTCATACTCAGAATCGATCCCAGTGAAGCCTTTAAAGGACAGCAGACAGCAGAGGGGGCAGGGACGTAAAGGGTTATTTCACCTGCACCAGTCTGCACCGAAGCTAAGGTTCACACTGCCCTGTCATGCCTTGATAGAACTGATGCTTCTTTTGAGAGACTTCTAATTAAACCTGACTTCTCCCTTACACATCCAGTCAATTCTCATTATTCATTGCAGCTATGTTCAATAAAGTTGTCACAAACACTAATGAAGTAAACACCGAGTCATGTCTCCTGGGTGAAATACAAGTTCAAGTTCCTGCCAGCCTCAGGTGCCATGCCCATTTCTGTCTGAAGGCAACTTATTGAGCACATTGATTCATTTTCACCAACCGGAGCCGCAGCACAGCTCAGCTAGAATGAAACTAATGCACACCTCCCCTCTGAGGCCTCCCAGCCTCCTTGCAATCAGATATACAGGGCCAGGAAGATGGCTCAGTGAGTAAAGGGGCTTGCCACCAAGCCTAACAACCTGAGTCCTGTAGGGGAAGCTGTAGCCACGCCTACTTAGGGGCTGGCTACAGGTGTGCCTGACCACGCCCTCACAAGCTT